CACCACCGGTGTCTTCACTCTCCAGGCTTCCTTAAGTTCTTCTTTGAGGCCCTGGTACTTCTCTAGTTTCTCATTTTCCTTTTTCCTGATGTTGCCATCAGTTGGTATTACCACATCAGCCACAATGGCTGCCCTCTGTTGTTTGTCCACCACGACAATGTCCGGTTGGTTCGCCATCACCCTTTTGTCGGTCTGGATCTCTGCTTAAATTGCCTCAGACATCATTTGTTTAATCAAGATCAGGTTTCTCATCACATACAGCCTCTAAAATATTAACCTGACTGTGAAGACCCATTTCTCTTCCCTTGTTTACTCTGTTACCCTTTTTCTTCTGTGACTTCCCACTTCAAAGGTAAGGTTCAAAGGGTGTGTGTGGGGGCATAGGTAGCACCACTTTCCATTGCACTTTGTGAAGAAAACCAGTAAAAATTTTTCCCTAGAAATGTCAAAGTGCATACATGTTTTATATGGAAACGGATAGCACCAAATCTCGCCCTCCGTGTCTCTTCATGTTTTTACGCCACCTCAGTAAAACAGAGGGGATCGATTCTAAGGTTTTCTCAAAAATAAAATCCACTTCCTGCACATTCACCCGTTAGGTTTTCAGAGTAACAATGCCTGTCATTAAAAAGACCTTAAGATTTTTTTATGCTTGTTCAATGTTTTCCCAGCAAATCTTATAAAACTAACTTTTTTGTTAATTTGTCAAAAGTTGGATTCCACATAAAAGAAAAGGAGTGACTGAGAGAAAGAGGTCATAATGTCCCGAGGCAAAGCATGTTTTCCATGAACAATCACTAAAATAGTCTATAAATACTTTCTGCACTAGTTTTTTCTAGGCAGACACAGAATTTGTCAACCTGCCCTGGTTTTCTGATGGGTGTTGGCCAACATAACAGCAGGAGAAGCTTCTAGCAGCTGTCAGATGAAGGCTTGGATGTAGATGGGGTATGATAGAACACAACAGTGAAGGAAACTAAATGAGATCCTCTTTAATTGACTACCAGCTCTGCCTTATGTGAGGTCCTGTGAATTGGGTACAAGAACAGCAATCAGAGGAATTTTAATTTAACCAAATTAAAGGTGTCCTGTGAGGTTTTTCTGAGGATTACATGGATGACAGTGAGCTGATCACTTGTTCTGTCAGCACGAACATTCCCATGTGCCTGCCTGAAACAGGTACTGACTGGTTGCAAATGTGATCATAGTGGTTGGTGTAAATTCAATCGAAGCACTAATTATAGAGAGGGACTAATACCAACTGGCATTTTTTTGAAATTATTACAATTAAATGTTATAATACAAGGTGGTTATTTGGTGGCTCCTACAGCTTTATTCTGTAACACCTTCAGTCATTTTCCACATTCTGCATTGCTGTTAGTGGGAACACATCTTACCTTTGATTGGTTATCAGCAGCCTGGCTCTTCAACTGTCTCCATTCCCACTGGAACACTGATGTTTTATCTCCTCAGATAACAAGCCTGATGGAGTTGCTAATGCTAACGGTTAGCTTCTACTAGCTGAGACACCAGTTTCCAGTTCCCATTTTAGAGTAGGTTTAAACTTTTTTACAGGCCAACATTAAAAACCAAAAATAGCAATTATCTTATATATCTCATCTATTACAAGCAGAAAAAGTGCATGAAAACAAAATAATTCAAACTCAGTTTGCTCTAAGGAGCAAACAAGGTGTTCATTAATGAGACGTCTGTGTTGTTGTATTCATCTTCATCACAGACAACAGTTGCTCACATAGATACTGTATGTGCTGCTGAACATGGAGAGCATCTGAGCAGCTAAGGTCAGAGTTGGGTCGGTGCGTCTTTGAGGAGAGATAAAAACTGCAGGCCCCACAGAGTCATACTCTGACTTGAGCATGTCGTGAAACTGGAGTTCAATCAGCTTCGTCTGGAAGTTGGTTGGTGAGCTTTTCATGTCAGCCATGGACGGACTAATAGAGTGGTTGAAATCTCAATTTCTGGGCTTCAAAGTTGGCAAATTGCTGAGTAAACTTGGCGCTTGAAAGGAGTATTATCAGTTAAACAATGAGGAAGGTATTGCTCCAGACGCTGATTCTAGTAGCATGGATGTTAATGATTGTGAACAGAGAAAAGGGGACACTTTGACTGATGTGCTAATGCTGCAAAGCACTATGGGATTTGTAGTCTTTGGGGCAAAATGGGTCAGCTTTAATATATGTTTATGTATTTATGAGATGCTATTGTCCAAAGTGACTTACAGGTGATAATCAAGCCAGCAGGTTGCCCTTGAGGCTAGCAACAAACACTATTCAGTCAATCCTAGGTGGCAGTGAGGCAGCATAATCAATCATAGAGGGAAGCGAACATGGAGTGTGCAGTAGAGTGGGTGGCAGGTGCTAGTTTAGAAGATGCTGTCTGAAGAGCTAGGTCTTCAGGAGTTTTTTGAAAATCAACAAGGAAGCCCCGGTTCTGGTAGTGCTTGCTACATCATTCCACACCTGTGGAACAACACATGAAAAGAGTGTGGATTGTCCTGAGCGTGGTGCAGGCACAGCTAGCCGACGATCCTTTGATGACTGGAATGGCCGGGCCATGATGTAAGCCTTTACAAGAGGATTCAGGTAGACGGGAACCGTACCATCCAGGACTTTGTGTGCTTGTCCTAGCGATTTGAACTTGATGCCTGCAGATAATGGTAGTCAATGAACAGATGGGTGACATGTGTGCTGTTAGGCTGATTGAAGACCAGACACGCTGCTGCATTCTGGACCGTTTGAAGAGGTCTCACAGTACAGGCTGGAAGACCAGTTAGAAGGGCATTGAGCTAGTCAAGGTGGGAGATGACAGTAGATTGCGCCAGGAGCTGAGCGGCATATTGTGTAAGGTATGGTCTGATCTTTTGTATGTTACACAGCGTGATGCGGCATGAACGAGCGACATAGGCAACGTGATCTTTAAAGGTCAGCTGGTCTTCAATCACAACACCCAAGTTTGGCCTGTACTGTATATTTGATATTTGATCTCATGGGCAAAATAAAAATAGGCCATGGGGCAAATTTGGCCCGAGGGCCTGAGTTTGACACCTGTGATTTAGAGTAAAGGAGACCACACCCGTGCAGCCTCAAACTTTGGACAACAAAAGGAACAGCATCGTCTATGACCCTTAAGCTGTATCTGCTCTTTATTACTACAATATGATTTTAGATATTTAGAAATTACTTTAGGCCATTTATTTATTCCAACATTCATTTTCCCATGACTCTAAATTGCCCTTGAATGACAATAATTGTCTGAATAATTAACTCAACACAACAGCAACTAATGCTCATGTCTGTTGTAATGTGCAAAGTGCCGTTTCAGATGTGAGCCGTGTTCGTCACTTCTGATTTATTGGGAATAAATTCAGTGCAGACAGATACTGAATCATCCTTGTAGCCTGAGCTGGGTCCTGGCAGCGCGCCCTGCAGGAAGCTGTCTGAGCACACAGACTACTGCGTGTTGGAGCCATTTCTTTGAGCCATATTTAAGTTTGGTCTTGGCTTCCTGATCGCTACGGGTCAGCGAACCCTCGGTTTTTAATTGCTTCGGGTGCTTGGACCCTGCACTTACTTACTTTCCGGTCTACTTTTTATTTGCTCTAGAGTTCGAGGGTACACCGAGATCGCCCAAGGAAGTTTAAACACAAATTTCTAAAAAACAAGGAGATATTGTTCTAAAACTTGCTTCATAGTCTAGTACATGATGTGATTAAACATGATGTGATCTGGTATTAGAGAGAAGTTGCTTAGCTCCAGCAGCTGGGGCATACGGATGCATGAACCTGTTACCTTTACAACCCATCAATGGAATTGTTGTGCAAACTATCTTAACATCTCTAAGACATTTTGTCAAGATATACACGTCATGATGGTGTTCAAATAAAGGTCAGCATCAGTATAGTGAAAGGTGATATTGTGTTTTCTGGACCCAAAGACACATTTTTACTGCATAAAAACACTGCAGTAGAAGGAAGAGGGGCTAAAATGATGAAAGGTAAAAGCAGCAATAATACTAGTTATGTGCTGAAATTAAATCTGAAGTTCATAGGTTTGATACTTTTTTGATTGTAGGAGTATACGTGAGGCCCTGATGGTGAAGCTGTTCCTGTGCAGCTTATGAATTCTATAAAAATGCCATTTCCACTGTAAAACCAAGTTACATTATAGAAATATACTGATTCAGCTCCACCATGTGAGCGAAGCAATTGTGTACTTTCTGTTTTCAGTGTCAGCAATTCATATTTTACAGCCTGATCAAGCAAAGTAAATGCAGCAGTAGAAGTGTAAAAAAAGCATAAAAGAGAAAGGAATGGGGAAGGGTGCTAAGGCATATGTGCATAAAGGAAAATGATTTGTATTGATAAGATTCTGAAATTCAGTCGCACCCAAAAGCTTGTGGTTCTCATTAAAAGTCAGCTATCTTCCTCGCTGTGTCTTATCTGAAGCCTTGATGCTAAAATTACAAAGGTTATTTGCATAAAAACTAACAGAACAGAGTGCATAAAGTATACGAGGTTTGGGTTGATTTATTATTGCTCTTCTGCAATTTTTACCCCATTTTCACATGCAGCCATATTTGCTTGTGCATGGACATTGTGATTAACCTTGCAAACAGCTGAATCCAGATGTGTGTTGCCTTGTAAGGAAGTAATTCTGCAGTACACTTTTAGATGTGCTGTGAAGTGAGCTTGGATGAGCCCCATCTCTCGGTGTTGTTCAGATGGATGATCTTCATTTCGCATTATGTGCACTCTCCCATCACGTTATGCAAAGTAGCTTTTGTATATTGGCTGTATTTAACAAAAAATGTCATTTATAATCAGTGTGGCTCTAAAACGGAATGATTCACTTTTAACTGGATTCTTATTTTTAAGGGTGAGATGAGCAACACGTGCACACACTAAAAGTGTATAACTTCTACTCAGACATGTAATACGTGTGTTTTTATTCTTTCTAATCTCCTGTTTTCTTCCCCCCCAGGTCCTCCAGTCATTGTAGGAATGAGCATCAACATAGCCAGTATCGACTCCATCTCAGAAGTAAACATGGTGAGTTAAAGTCTATCTGGTCTCATGGTGGTGAAGGATTAACTGTAGTAGTGATTGTGCGACAAAACCATTTGTCCATATGCTTGGTTAATGCTTGATCGATTAACATTGTTTCTGTAGGTATTGTTGTGCAAATGAAGCAGACGAAAACAGAACAGTTTATTATACGTACAATACAGTCGGCCTCTCTAGGAAGGGCCATGCCGGGAGAGTCCCACTGACATTCAAACCATTGATTTGGGAGGAACAATGTTATATTCATTTTGTTGACTTAGATATAGCCAATAAAAACATGTTCCTCTAGAAGTTTCAGGTGTCCAATTTGAGCCCTCAAATCAATATAAATATTAATTCAAGCATTTGTTTGAGGTGTCCAATATCACCATTACTGCTCATTACTTTAATGGACACAATTCCTAAGCACAAACAAGTGGTGGAAGAATTGGCGGGGCTCTGATTGGATTACTGATTTTTGTGTTTGATGTTAGCTTCATTGAGCTTGGACGCTGGCATGGTGTGTAGATAAGTGAAGTAGCAGGAATGAGAGTGGGCACCTTCAAGTCTGGGGGGGTTTCTCAATGTCAAGGTGCCTGGCAAGTTCTACCTTGGTCAAAGAAAACGGTTAAATGGAACAGACTTACATCACGTGACCACGACTTCCATGGTGGTCCTGTCACGTGACATGTGAGGTAACGTTATATTTTATACGTACAAGTTTCAATATAAATATATAACAAGCTTTTTACTTTTTAAATTGTGTATATACTGATTAGATTAAATATGTAAGCGAGTTACTGCCTGTTAGCCACTGAAGCTGCAGCTACTAAGCAACCAACCATAGCTAACTGCTTTGGATTTAAAAAACATTTTAGATATCAGCCCGATAGCTACAATGAGTTGACTTACATTTAAACTTGAAATTTGACCCCGAAGTAGCTGCCAGCTCCTGATCTGCCATCCTTTTGAAAATACAGTGCTGTATTCTGGAAAATGTTTGACCAAGGCCAGGCTAAAAGACACATCCCATGTATCCTTGATCCGCTAGCTAAACAGCTAACAGATGGAGAACAGATGTCTCAGTAGAACATGAACATTGGAACATACCTTGGCGGTTCCTGATGACGTATCTCTAAGGCAACCGAGGTGGGGCCAAGACATCAAGGCAAGGTTCCTTGGCACTGAGAAACACCCTGGGTCTCCAAGTGTGCTGGTATGCAACTCCGTGTATGTCCGTCAGAGTGGGGAGGGTGTTAAGATAAGTTGAAAGCAAGGCATGGGACTGAGGGAAGGAATGAGTGATTTTGATTTATTTTGCTTACCAAGTGTACCATCAAAGTCCCGGTACTGTGTGATCCAGTCCATACTGGCTCATGTAAAGCACTGGTTATAGGTGTTGACCAAAACTATCAGATAGCAAATACACTCAGTTGAAATGAGCATCCTGAGGATAGTGTGATTAGCTCAGCTTAATGGGAAGAGCTCAGACTAGAGTCCCTGGTCCTCCACATCAAAAGGAAGTGGTTTCATGTCTTAGCAGGAAGAGACCTCAAGACAGACCCAAGACCCTCTGGAAAAATTAAATCTCACAGTTGGTTGGGAAACACCTTGAATGAGTAATCGGAAAGTTGTAGGTTCAATTCCGGCTTCTGCCAGGCAATGCTGTTGTTGTGTTCTTGGTTAAGACACTTAACCTGCCTTGCCTGTTGGTGGTGGTAAGAGGGACTTGTGGTGCCAGTGTTCGGCAGCCTTGCCCCTGTCAGCGCGCCCCAGGGCAGCTGTGGCTACACTGTAGCTCATCACCATCAGTGTGTGAATGTGTGTGTGTATGAATGGGTGAATGACTGATTGTGTTGTGAAGCACCTTGGGGGGTTGTAGAACCCTAAGAAGGTGCTCTACAAATACAGACCATTTACCATGGGGAGATGTCTGCTTAAGCTGTTGCCCCAGCAACCTGATTCTAGATGAGATGGATAGCTGTGCTATCATGGTAGAATGAAGAATAAATAAATGAAATTAGCTTAAAAAACAGTTGCAATTTTGACAATTTATTTATTTATTTGTAGAGGTAAGTCAACCATTTAACTGAATTGACAATCTTGTAGGCAGAATAATGGATATAAAAATAGTCCCAAGTGGCAGCTCTGCTTGTGTCATAGGAAGAGCTGCTAAAGTGTCTCACAGTCTTGCTGCTCAATAAATCTGTGAGACACTGACACACAGGAGGTTCACGCTTATCCACGCAATTTGCTGGCAGTCAGAAATGCAGGCTGAGCAGAGAAAAATACAATATGGCTGATGTCTGAGGGATGACGTCAGTATGTCTCTCAGCTCTTTCTGTAGTTCAGTCAGCGTGACAAAATCAGTTGGCGTGCAGCTTCCAAATGCAGCTGCTTTTCCTTCTGGTGCTGATGAAATTACAGCACTATGTGTACAGGATCAATGAACCATCATCTGCAGCACTAATTATCTCTCCTTGACATTATTCAGATAAATACATTACCATACATGGATAATGGTATTTATGGATATTCTAATTCTCTAACTCACTTTTAAAGAGGTTCTTTACTGAGAAACATGTTTTACTTATTATTTTTGAAAATGATTGACCACCCTGATTTTAACGTACTAAACGTGAAAATAGTCTCCCACACCTATCAACTGCATTTGCTTATGATAGAAAATAAATGGTGAAACTCTAGATTTGAGAATCCTGACAGATCTACGTCACACTTTCACTAACATTCTTGGACTCACCCATCTTGACTCGTGCCAGGGAAGGCTGTTGTTGGGTTAGCAAGCAGGAAACAGCAGACGTCTTAGCTAGTAGAACCTAACTGTTAGCATTAACAACTTCCCCACATGGCAGAACTCCTCCAGGCTTGTGTTATTTGGGGAGGTAAAACATCGTTGCAGGGCAAACAGTCAGTGGTATAGTCATGTTGCTGCTAGCCAGTCAGAGGCTAGATATCCAAATATCAGGAAAAACCACTCCAAATCTTGTCGTCTCAAGATACTTTGTCCTCCAGCTTAAACAGGTGGACCTGAGCTTTTATCCCCAGAGTAAAACTTAAAAGGCATTGATTCCTACTATAGACCACTGCAAATGTATTAAAAATATGAGTAGAGGACGTCTAGACCAAAAATATGGTGTATCTGTTGAAACTATGTGTAAAGCTGCCTGTGGTTTTGTGTCGGTGACTTTGTTAGTTTTTCTCTCTGCCTTCACAGGACTACACCATTACAATGTATTTCCAGCAGAGCTGGAGAGATAAGCGTTTGGCCTACGGTGAGCTGAACCTGAACCTGACATTGGACAACCGTGTAGCTGACCAACTCTGGCTTCCTGATACTTACTTCCTCAATGACAAGAAGTCTTTTCTTCATGGTGTGACAGTCAAGAACCGAATGATCCGACTGCACCCTGATGGCACTGTCTTATATGGACTAAGGTAAGGCAAACACCACCCAACACTCGGTGTGCTCTTTGGCAGTAGTAGTTCATCTACTCATGATTCAACATGTTCTGGTTCAGAGATGGTGTTTAGAATAAAAATATAGACTAATCGTAGCAGTAGCAAAGATTTTGCTCTGAAAGTTTCATTAGCCACGCACCATTGTGAACTGAGCAAGTCTACCATTGGCTCGGCGAAATGTAGGTCGGGCCAGTCACAGTGCTGTGTTTGTAGAGAGACATTGTGTGGGCTTAGTACTATTTTTTTTTCTTTTTTACGATGACAGAGCTGCAACTAAGCAAAACAAAAAATTATAGCACCAGTTCAGGCATCGACAATTTAGACTTGGGCTTTTTTTTAGTCCTTTTTAGAAGACACACCGTGGAGGCAAATCAGCGCAATACTGCCACCACGGTGTGTCTTGTGTACATGCTGTGGTGGCTTGGCATTGCAGGAATTTTGCTGCATTCGTGCCGCCACGCTTGGTAGTAATATTGCCGCAACGCCTGACTTGTGAATGCATATTACGCCTTGGCGCAACAGAGGGAGGTGTCATGATCACGTGGGAAGTTATTGCAGAGCTCCGGCCAGCAGTGATATTGAAAATGAAGGTAAACATTAAGGAAGATAAACATTACATCATCAGCACCCCAGCAGAACGTGTCAAACTCTGGGAACCGGTGATGGTTGTACCCTTGTGCCTGCCTGAGCGTTCGCGGCTCCCGGGTCAGGGGGTTTACCATTTTTGGCGTCTGCCTGATTAATCCTGGTGGCTGCCTAGTGGGATCTAGGTCCCTGGGCTCTGTTGGGTCCCCGGCGGGGGCTGGTTGCCCCTGGGTCCCCGGTCATTGGGTTCCGGACTCGGCTGGCTTGGGGGTGGGAGGCTGCGGGCGGGCCTGTGGGCTTGCCACTGATTTCCCCCAGGACTCTGCCGGCTACTGGTTGTGGCCCCCCCAGGCAATCCTCTGCACCTCTCGAGGGGAGCAGGGGCTTTTCTGGTCGCAGTCTCCCTGGGGTCCTTGCTCTCTGGGGCAGCTCCTGGATCTTTGAAACTTGGAGCTCCTTCCATCTCCTACACATCTTTGGGGGGCAGATCTGTGGCCCCTCACACTCTCTATTGGACGCTCCTATAGAGAAACCTTACATAAGCAAGCGCGTGTACACACACAGGTGCTCACATGGTGCTCTCATAAGTATGGACTTGGGCACGTTCAACACATGTCTTAAGGCTGTGGTTGGCACTTAATACACTGTGATTTATTATTGTGATTGTTCAGTAAAACAATGTTGATTTTATATTTCCTCATCAGGTTGACGCAGTGATAGCTTGCTCCTGTTGTATTGTTGTGTGTCCCTTTTCTTTTTTTTTCTCTCCTTCTGCAGGTCTAGAAGCAGACTCTTGTTCATCATTGATTATTTTTGTGGAACCCCCCTTCCTTTTGTCTCTTCCTTTCTCTTATACCTCTGTCTCCGTGTCTGGTCGGAATTACAAGCATTCAAAAAACAATAACAATTAAGTTTTAAGTATCAGGCGTGACATTAAAAGCAGAAGCTTTGATGCTCCACCTGAGAGTAAATCTGTGAGGCTTGTCACCAGCATTCAGACATTAGTTCTGTTTGCTTCACAGCCAGACAGGACTTGGTAAAAAATAAAAATAAAGGGCACGATTGCGCAACATAGGGAGCCTAACCCCTTCTTTCCACGGGAGCCGTCAGCAGCACGTTACTGCAGCAGCATGTCATAGCTGCTGATAGGAACCGCTGTGGTCAACAGAACCTTTTTCATCGGAGCCATCAGCAGCCATCAGCAGCGCGAGTCGGCCGCGTCTCAGGAGCAGCATGTTGCGGCCCTTACGCGCCGGTTTATTTTCTATGCGCGACGCCTCTGAAATGGGTCAAGTTCGACATTTTTGGGGAAGGAAAGACAGGAAATTGGACACGGAAATGGAGCGAAGCTCCCGAGATTTTCAGAATAAAAAAACGTACTGCCTTCTGGTTGCTTTACTTTAAAAAAAAGTTACTAACTGTGCGGCCCCGTGAGAAGTTATCACCTAGCTAGCGGTTTCCTTTGTTTATCAGGTCCATATTGGCGATTATAAAATAGACAGAACATAAAACACAAACCTTTTGGAGCCATGTTGTAATTTTCTCCTGCTTGTTGTTGTGTTTACTGACGAAGTCACTCGTGTGACTTTGTGCTCTGTCGGTGACAGCTGCTCCCCTGCTGCTTCGCGTCTCGTGGGAAGGGCCAAGCAGCAGCTTTTCTTTCTTTCTTTCTTTCTTTCTTTCTTTATTGAACATGCATGCAAATCAATAGACAACCCAAAGCATTCAAAAAGTATCCAAAAAGAAACCCACACATATGTATATGCATATATACACATACACACATACATACATATATACATACATATATACATATATATATATATATATATATATATATATATATATATATATATATATATATATATTATATATATATATATATACATATACACATATAGAACATGTTCAATGGGAAGGGAACGAAGCTCTGGTAGCTTATATAATCCCCCCCCAAATCAAATTTCAAGAAAGACAAAACAAAAAAATATATATATTTTCCCTACACTGAGTGTCATTGCCATTTTCCTATAACATGTTTTATCCTCAATCACACAAACCAAATTTACATTTTCTCATGTTTCTCATGACTTTATTGTTGTTCTAAAATATGTATGCCTAAAGTTAAGTTTGTATCTGAAATTATATACGTTATCTGGTTTTATAAATAGCATTAATAATTTGTGTGGTAATAATTTCCTATGCACTTTAAACATGAATGTCGCTGTATATAGCTGAATTAAATCTTTAAATTTTAGTATTTTAGAATATATAAATAACGGATTAGTGTGGTCTCTAAATCTAACATTGTGAATGACAATGCTTACGCAAGCAAGACGTGCTGCTGCAGTAATGTGCTGCTGACGGCTCTGGTGGAAAGAAGGGGTTAGTCACTTCTGCACCATGGGTCCCCGGAAGAATGAAAAAAATGAATGAAAGTCAATGGGGCTAACTACGCTATTTTCTAATTCTGCTTGTTTTGTGCCATGGATTTCACATATGATGTCCGTGAATTTTAAAGACACATTTTGATACCAAGAACGTGTTTATTTTCAAATGGGGATAAATATTATTTTAGGTTTTTGTGAAGATAAGTCCAGGACTACAAATGCACATCACGAAAGTGACGTCATCAAACCAGACATGGAGAAAACTGAGAGAAAATGCCTGTAAGGTCAGCAAAATTCCTACAGGAGGAAAGAACCACCATAAATCGGGCCATTTGAAAAGTAGCAGCTACTTTGGGGAGAGGAGAATATGTGGTGGCATATGCAACGTGCCGATGTCTGATTTGTAGTCATGCTAATTACGAACTTTTACAAGCTGATGAATCTCAAAGTACATGCCTGGCATGGTCGAAACACCCATCATTACTTTTAATTTAAATTGCAGTGCAACATATCTGTGATCCAGGGGCGTAAGGCAAAGCGGCTTAGAAAATTGCGTTTTTAGCCCCGTTGACTTGCATTGATGTTTTCGTTCTTCCAGGGACATGTGAGCCGGCTGGAAAGGGAGGAGACTTAGGTTCCCTATTACCACCACGGTCTAATCACTTATAAATGACCTAAGGCTCCTTGATGCCGCCATGGCATTGTGGCAAATTAGTGGCATTATTTTGTAAAAACAGCTTGAATGAGCGCAGCTTCGATAACAATAAAAAGCAAGTTATGTCCAAGATAAATGGAAGTCCCTGGTAGGGCAGAGACCGCCCCAATTGCCTCATTCCCCTATTCCCCCTTTATACTGCCATTGCCTAATCTTTTGAAAAAAGGATACAATTGTGCCACATTACAGCTACGGTCTGACCACTTAGAAACAAACTAAGGCTCCCAGATGCCGGCTCGGCGGCATAGTTTTCTAAAAAAAAGTTTTTGAAACATGAGCAGCCATGCCCTTTACTTCAAAAATGATCGTGTATGGTGGACTGACCTGTTGACAGAATTATGTAGTGATGAAGACCTTAGATTGTCCATTGCTATAATCTATCCTAGCAGTGTCCAAATGCATGCAGAAACAATTCGAAAGACATCTATTGATTCTGCCCCACTACAAATCCCCGTCTATGGGTCAGGGCCCGAGATTATATTTACAACTATGGGATGCTTGCCAGACTAGTTGTTTCATGGACGTTTGTAGGAACCAGCAGTCCATTCTTTCTGATTCCTGGAAAACTGTAAACCCAAGAACTGCTCATAGGTGGAATTTCCTAGCCTGGCTTGCCAGACTCATCCTCTGTTTAATTCTGCACAGTGAAAAAGTCTGGTAACTCACAGGCAGAGGCACTTGAGAGGCGGGACTAGGCAGCTCAAAGTAACCAATCAGAAAAAAGATGGAAATCCCGACTGTATCGCACGACGCTGTCGTTTTCTAGCTGTAGTAAAAAAAATAGCGTCTGGCAACGGTGCAAACATCTTTTATTTTTTTTTAGAAGAAATGCTTTTAGCGCTTCTACTTGTGGCTTTAACGACATTTGAGTCATTTAGAACAGAGAAAAGAGCCGCAGTGAACTCAGTCGCTGTCTTTGCTGTTAATGAGAAAGTGAGCATCGCTGTGTGTGACGTCCGCGGCACTGTAGTTTTTTAGCTGTAGTCAAAAATGGAGTCTGGCGACAGCACAAACATCTTTCTTTAGAAGAAAGGCTTTTAGGGCTTCTACTTGTTGTGTCCAAGTTATTTAGACCAGAGGAAAGAGCCGCAGCGAACTCCACTTCAGTCGCCATGTTCGACAAACTCTGCATTGTGGTGTGTGACGTTCGATACTAAGCGCTGATTGGCTCCTCTCACAAGGAGGGGCTATTTGAATAGGAGAGTTACCAGACTCATTCTCTGTGCAGAATTAAACAGAGGACGAGTCTGGCAGGCCAGGCTAGGATTTTCCAGAAAATCGGCAGC